AGCTCTTCAGTACTGGCATTCAGTTTAGAATTACAAATCAACACAAGCACTTCAAACTTGGCAAATCCATCATGAAGATATTTTTCAAGCAACCTCATCAGAAAAGAGCTAGGGATACCACGTATCTGCCTTATTCATCAGAAAAAAACAGCATAAAAATCAAGTTACAAAAAAAATAAGAATCACTCAACCCAAAATTTGACCAGCTGAATTTTGGGAAGACTGATGATAGGAGTTTCTGCAAGTATACACATGACTTGTCACTTCATACAAGTCTATTTTAGGGTCAGCTGAAGTTGTAAATATTGTATCTAGTTCCAATTTTAACCAAGGTTAGATGACTGATAATTTGTCACCACTTTTGACATCACTTTATCTGTCAATATGTCAAACTCCAGGCACCAATAGGATTTTTGGTCCTTTCCAACTGCAGCTTGAGTTTTCCCCAATGACCAGATATTAGGTGAGGGAGGAGAAGGCTGTCAGCTTCTGGCTTCATTTTTTGAGAGAGAAACACAACAAACCTCTGATTTTAATATATGTGTACCACAGGAGTAGATCTCCTGATGTTTAGCAACACCAAAACAGAGCCCACCGTGGGGATTTTCCTTGCTCAGTAAAACACGGGGATCACGAGCAGAAGATTTAGGATCAACACTCCTGAGCGCTCGTATGATTAGGAACTATGCAAAGTAAATTTCCTCAAGGAAAAGGATTTATTGAAAACTGATACTTGCCAGACATTTGAAAAATGAGACTTCATCCCTCATATTATTCTGCTCTGCAGCCTCTTTAAAGAGCAGAGATTTGATGGTAGCTCCTTGTTCCAGGGAGCAGAGCGCCGCAATGCGCACGCTGCAACAAAAGGCTCCCAGAACGTTGGTTTTCATCTGGCTGCAGGGAGGGAAGTGTGCTACTTAAAATAGGACAAATATCACAAACTCGGTGCCCATGGTGGTGCCTTGTGAAGGCTGGCCTAGAACAAAGACTAGACAGAGCTAAAGGATAAAGTTGGGATTTATTAAGAGGCCTCAATGGATCCACCTTGGGCAGCACAACCCAAAATGGCCACAAAAAATGGGCAACAGTTCCTGGGATCTCACACTTTTATAAGTTCTGCTCCATTTGCATATTGAAGTTAATTGTCCAATTACAGCTTAGCCCATGAACTCCCATCCTTCTTGTTTTCTCTCTTCAGTTTACCATTTATACTCTTGGGCCTGAGCTTTGGATCAGTTGTCCTTGGTCCCCAGCTGGAGAAGGAATTGTTTTGTCTCCTTGCTCTGTGCAGAGAGCTCACCATCCCCTGATATGAAGCCCAGACCCACACACTAAAGCAGCACAGAATCTGGAAGACATAAAAGCTAAACCTGAGGCATCAGTGGCTGCTGCTGGGTTTATCTGACCCAAGGGAAGGAGCTGCAGGCCTGGGCTGAGCCCCCCTTGCAGTGAAAGGCAGCACCTTGGCAAGTTCCTGTGAGAGCCTGTCCACATTCCAGGGGGACTCAAGGACACGTGAGCAGGACATTTAAATGTCTTCCTCTTTCTAGAAAGCCCAAGGTCAGTTGAAGGTCTCCTGGACTAACCATCCTCAGCTAATGGTTACTTGAAAACTTCCACCTTAAGCTGAAGCCTTTGTCATTCTTTTGGTAAACAATTAAATTAATCAAACGCTGTTTCACAGCTTGGACGCATCCCCCAGTAAAATGAAAGTTTCCATTCACTGTATTAAAAAAACCCACAAAAGCTAAAAAAACAGGTATCCCTTTCTGGAAAACAACATAGATCTCTCAAAGCCAAATTGACCTAAAATTCCCAGAAGACACTTGATACAGCCTGCTGAAAAGAAGAATGTGTGAGGATAGGGTGCAGTAGCTACAAAGCTTTCTATCATCCCCTCCTCTGGCACCTTCAGACAGGATAAGGAAAACTCCATGGTCCAAGAAAAGCTTCTGCTCCACAGAACAGATGTGTAGCTGGACTTGAAGAATGATTTTTGCTGCTCTGTTGGTTACCACTGCATGCTTAAGAAACACATAAGATTTGTGAAATCAGCAATTTAACAAAACTCCAATTGCAATTATTTTTGTGGGTGATGTTAACTACTTAAGGTGGTTACTTATAATGAAAACTTCAGAAACAACATTTTGAATTAAACCCAAAGGGTTTAAAAAAAGCCCAGCAAAACCACACCCTAATCCCTCAAGAAAAATCCTCCAAACCCTTATTATCTAACCATGCCTAGTTATTTTCTTGCCAAATATAATATAATACTGGCTTACCACCTCTGCCTTATAGGGCAGAAATGTGGAAATGCTGATGCCAGCCAGATGGTCTAAAACTTGTTCTGAATTCATTTCCCCTCCACCAAAGTCAAACAGGACACTTGAGGATGTGGCCATGCCCGAGATGAGAACTCCTCTATGGAGCTCCTGACACCAGTGGTGGTGTCTGAAGCTGCCAGGCCCTTACAGAGAGGAATTCAGCCAAACTACAGAATAATCCTGGTCTATATTGTGACAGTATATTTAAACTGAAGAATAATTACATGTCTGATAAACTTTGATGAGTTATATTCAAAACAATTAATAACAATATTATCTGTTCTGAAATTTCACAGGAATTATTTCTTCCTTTTAAATAATATATTTTCTTTCTAAATAATAGTATTTCCTTCTAAATAATACAGTACCCACAAGGACTCCCTTTTTCTCATTGTGTCCTGCTTTATCATAAAGCCAGTACATTTTCTAAACTGCTCCTGCTCCAACTCAGGAAATCAGACAGGCTACCAGGATACCTTAATCAGAGTGCTCTTATCAGAGTGTCTCCAGACTAATAAGAAGAAATCCAATCTAGTGCCCACGGAACACTAAATTAGATCTAATCATAGGGCACTCTTCCAATTCTTCAACAGCAGGTCTAAGACCAACAAATGCCATTTATTTTTTTTTTTTAGTAGCCATTAAAATACTACAAGCAATCCCAGAGCAGCTGCTTCAAAGCCACAATCCAAAAAGCTGCAGACATTTGTTTGCATTTAAAATATGATCATTCAATGCTCTCTTTGCCAAAGGATACTTTACATACAAACACTCTCAAGAAGACCCTGGAAGGCTCCAGGGTCATGGTATTTTGGGAACCCCAAAACAGGGCAACTTGCATTGTCTCAGCTTGAGAATGCTTAGATAGTTGAAGCAAAACACCTTTCAGCAGTTCCCTGGCACACAGATTTCATTTCCTTAATAACAAGGCATCACATGAGCCAATTCTGACTAAAAACCATTATATCTTGTGTTAAATATGCAATTCACTGAAGGCCTGCTCTACATGCACTCTAGAACTGTTCTATAAAGGAGTTAAAAATTGCTTAATGCCTTATGCAGAAGTTCTAGACCCATATTTTTATGGGACATGATGATCCATGTGTTGAGTGATTTTTTTATTTATATGTTCCTCCTGGGAAGGATTCTATCTGTAAAGTGTCCTGGATGAGACAGAACAAGCCTTGAAGAGTACCTCTTCAAAGCTGCAACTGTAAAATATTTGTGTTGGGGAGGATGGTTTTAAATCTCAGATTTTTTAAAATACAGGGTTTTTTTCTCAAAGTAGGATGAGTCCCAGCTCCTCTGCACTTTCATAATTATTGTCCTCACACCTGGCAAACCATCCCCAAAATTTCTCTTACTGCCCAGGCAGGGAAACACTGAAGTACAGAAAACTTGTGAGGTTTGGGGCAGGAGAGAGGAAAGGAGCTGCCAGAAAAAGGGTGAGGATAAAGTGATGGCAGCTCCCCACTGCCCCAGCCCAGGGACTGTCACACCAAACCAAAGGGGCTCCTGCTTGCCCTGCTCTGGTCCATGTCTGCAATTAAGGCCTTATGGATAAATTGCACATCTGATTGGTCCCCTTCACTCAGCATAGAGAGGCATTTCAGTGACTTCATTTTACTTGTTTGGCTTTGCTCATGAATGCTGATGCAAATCTAAGCTTACTTTGATATCCCATGTAAGGGCAGCACAGGCTGCAGTCACAGTGACACATCCAATGGCAACGAAAATCATGGGGAAATTCATTGCTGGCTACATCAGGATTGTCAGAAAGGCTTCAAGTGACATGTCTAAAAGCTACATCATATTCTATATTAAATATGATTTACTGTTTGGAGTGCTGTATGTGACATAAACCAGAATTGACTCACTTTTGATACATCATCTTCATTTTTGGAGTGTATCATCCATGATGGTAATCAGAAGATTAGGAATACTCTAAACTCACTTCCCTGCTGCTCCCTCTACTGACTGGCTGATGATTCCCTTCCCTTTGAAGGAGTTACTGCTTCCCAATGTGATCATGGAGACCAAGGGAGTGAAATTTGCAATTTCACATTTGGCCTGGGAAATCTTTTCTTCTCCATTAATGCATAATGAATATCTCTCTATATATCTTACACTGATCATGCAGGTTAAATCACACATGGCATAAAATACTTTAAATAACAATATATTGTAAAGTCATTTCTCTTGCAGCTAAGCCCCATCTGACATCACAAGAATGTGGAACTGAGCACGAGTTGCAGCAATCAGAGCTCTCCTGCTGCCCTTTCCCTTGCCCCAGCAGGTTCTTGCAGCACAGAAGCCCTCAAGGATCCAGACATTGAACCACAAGTGCTAAATGTGTAAAAACAATCAGATGGCATCCCCACCCACGCATCAGCCAGTGACCAAATTTCCTTTCTTGGACAGAATCTCTCATTTCCTCCCCACACTTAAATCCTCCGTGTCTATTATCCATTATACACACTCTGCTATAAAACTGTTGACACCTTCCTTTTTCAGTTTTTTCAGCCCTTGCCTCCCTCTTGCCTGACACAGAAACAACAGACTAGCACATCCCAGAGAGTTTTCAGTGGAAAAAGTGGTTCTATTAATGTCAGAAGCTGAAAGAACAGTAAATCTAGCTAGTCAGTAAAATAAAGAAGAGGAAGGGATCATACTCACAGCAGCTGCAGAGACACAAGATCATCAAAAAGGCCCTGGGGAATCTCCGTGATCTTGTTTCCATAGAGCACTCTGAAAGATTCAGGAAGACAAAATAAATCTTAAATAACAGCCCAGTTTAGTGTCCTCCCACATCTCTGCATTATCATCTTTATTGATCATGGTGCACCATGCCCAGGATCTGTGGGCATTTCATTTAACCACTGATCTCATTTTCCTTTCAGAGAGCACATGGCATTAAATGAGTCGTTATGATTCAGGCTTCGTCTGGTGTTGGAAGGCATTTTTAATGTAGAAACTGGACATCATCCAAAAACTGTATCTGAAATATTTTTCATTCTGTTAAAGGATTTTTTTTTCCATCCTCTTTAGAAATATTTTAGCCACTGAAAGGCACATTGTCTGATGTAAAAACCTAGAATTCTGCTCAGTAATACTGAATTTAAAAGCCAGAGAGCACAAGCTGGTTGTCGATAAAATTTCATATAACTGTGTCTCTTAAGATACAGTAATTGGCATGAAATGTGACACAGGCATCATTGGATAAAATATTATGGCTTCACCAGCTGCTGTTACCATTTCAATGAACTAATATAAAGAGATTTATCCTGAACTGGAAATAGACATATATTTCAGGAACTCAAAAATAATTTAGGTATAGCTTAGTTATAAAAATCAGTAAATCTTTAATAACAAAAATGAGAGTCACTGTGTATATTTAATCAACCATAAATATATGACCTGATATCCATGATTCAGTTTTAACATTAAAAATATTTCATTTTTTTTTTTTAATGGAGCAATGCACATATATTATCCTTAGATATTGAATGAAGGGGGAAGAGAGACAGAACCACCATTATGCTGAGATGTGTTACCCAGTGATCAGAGCAAAATCATGTATGACAGGAACACCAGAAATTCAATCATGGCTGAAGTATGAGCTTATGTCATTTCTGCAGGTTGGTATCATTTGTAAAAACCAGAGAGTGGCTGAGGAGCTTCTGTGAGTCCTGGTGAAAGGGAAGATGATGAGGCTCCCTCTGACAACATTTTTCCTTACCTAAGCATTTTAAACTGGGGAAAAAACAGGATTTATGTAATTTCTGTGCTCTACAAAGGACATGGCAAATGGTTATAAACCAGCAAATGCCAAAACTCTGCTGCTTATGTGTCACTAAATTTGTTGATTCCCTCACTTTTTAATGCTGGCAATGAATCAAAAGACCATGTGAGGCTTGGATGTTGGCTGAAATCCTGGCTTACCCTGCCTGACAACATTTGAAATATTAGGGAGAGCTGAACATGCTGAAAACCAAACTCTTAGCACAGCAGACAATTTCCAATACCCCCTGGCCTTCCCAGAGCATCACCACTTCAGTTTGCTCTTCATCCGTCACTGGGAGCCCCTCACCCCTGTGGGAGCCTTCCCAGAGCAGCTCATTTCTGAGCTAAACACAGCAACACCATTTAAATACCAAAACCCAAACTGAAACCCAATTTTTCATTACTTTCTCAGTTTAGCAGGAACTGAAGTGCTACTCAAGAAACTCAGGGTCATCCAGCATTTTATTTTCTCTAAACAAATGTAACAATTTCTCTATCTAGTACAGAGTCAGGAGGTGTTTGTAATGTGCGGCTCCCATTAGTGTTTCTTGTGAGCAATGAATGCTTCCAAATTTTTCTGATTGTTTCTTAACTTTAGCTTCAGAAAACACACACAATTTCCTATTTCAACAAAATGTAATGCAATACATGAAGATTTTTATAATCCATCCAAAGCTGGACAGAAATGGTGGCTGAACTTGGAGAGGTTTAACAGGATCATTTAGACAGAACATTCAAGTCCCTGGATTTCACTGGGCTCTGAACCAACATGTGAAAGGCTGGCTCATAGCTTTCCTTCTGCACAAAGATGTGTGCACCTGTATTAGCAAGCAGAAGCAAAACTTCTGCAAATAAAATATTTGTAAAAGGTTAAAACATCAATGCCCACAGAACCCAGCACGCTTCCTCTTCACCCCCCGTCTTCCTGAAAAACCCTTCTTTAGCTTTCTTTGGCTTTAGTGTGTCATCTGTACACTGAGTTTAGACTGCAAACTCTGGGATGTCAGAGAAACATCTTCCTCAGTTTTGTCAAGGAGCAGGATCATCAGAGCTCATCAATAATGCACAGCACAGCTGCAAAGAGGAATTGAGAGCTAAGTTTTACAAAATGCCCATGGAAAGTAAGGGCACTCCAGCCTAAGGGTTATTCTGGCTGTAGAGGTAAAACAAAACCTTAGAGAAATATCCCCACTTGTGTCCTATGGCACTACTGAGGAGAAATATCAAAATAAGACCCTCAAGCAATTTTTTTTTTTAATTTGAGAAGCAAAAGGTTATAATGCAGTGTGCTACTGAACTTTAAACTTTGGATGTGTTTATACAACTTCTTTATTATTTTGAGCAAAATAGATCAAAGTAGCTTATAAAATAAAGCAAAGCTCTGATTTTTAGAAGCCACAAAAAGGAAAATAAGCTTTTTCCAAACTAATTTGGCTTATGTGCATGTGGCACATTAGCATTCAAACAGATTAGCAGCTAAACAAAAGTCAGTATGAGAGCTCAGGCACTTGTCTCTAATTCATATTCATGCTCAGCAGTGCACAGAGCCAAATGAGCTGATGCCATGTCTGCCTGCCATGCCTGGGCAGCACAGGGAGGGAGCTCTGCCCTGCCCTGCAGCTCCTCAGTGCAGCTCTCACTGCCCTTTGCTGCAGGGAAAAGCACAGAAAACCTGCCCTGCTCAGAGCTCTGTGTCTGTGTCAGCCAGGAGAGCACAGTCCCAGCAAGGAGCATCACTGGGCTCTGCCCCAGCTGCTGATGCTGCCCTGGGCAGCCACAGGGACCCTCCTGTCCTCTCCTGTCCTGTCCTGTCCCACTGCCCCTCTCCCTGCTCTGCACCCCTGCAGCAGCTCTGGGGGCAAAGGAACCAAACAAACACCCCTGACAAAAATAAACAAACACAAACAAACAAATAAACAAAAGAAAAAAAATGAACCCAAACACCCCCAAAAACCCCTACAAAACAAAACAGAAAAAAAACCCCAATCAACAACAAAAACACGCAAAAAAAAACCAAACGAGCAAAAGAAAACGAGCAAAACAAAAAAACCCCATACACACAAAAAAAAAGAAAAAACCCCAACCAACCACAAAAAAACCCCAAAAACAAACAAAACAAAAAATACCCCAATCACCCCTGCAAAAAAACCCCAAAATTAAAAAAAAACTCAACTAACCACAAAAAACCCAAAAAACAAACAAACAAAAAAACCCCCAAACAGCCCCGCAAAAAAAACCCACCAAAATTAAAAAAAACCCCAACTAACCACAAACAACCCCCCAAAACCAAACATAAAAAAACCCCAAACACCCCCAAAACCCTCACAAAACGAAACCAAAAAACCAACAAACTGACAACAAAAAAACCCCCATAAAACAAACAAACACCCCCAAAAAACTCACAAAACGAAACCAACAAACAACCAACCACCAAAAAACCCCCAAAAAAGTAAAAAAAAAAAAACAAACAAAAAACCCCCTCAAAAAACCAAAACCAAAGCAAACAAAAACCACCAAACCAAACAAAAAAAATCCAACAACCACACCAAATAAAAACAACCAAACACCAACTGTAAAGGGCCATACAGCAGGGAACATGACCAATTCAATTCAAGAGCTTCATTTAAATCTCCAGTGCTTTTTCCAGCAGAGCTAAATTTTAGGAGATTTGCCCTTTGTCATTTAAAGTACTAAAAGTGGTGTTCACTTGCTTCCCCACACGTGTTGCAGGACATGCAGGTGTCCTGGCTCATGTGCAAGCTTGGCACAGGAACACAACTCTTCTCCTATCCCAAAGCACCTGAAATTTTAGACACAAAGCATTTTTTTTTAAATTAAAAACACACTAGGAAAGTTAACATGTAATAAAAATAAAAGTACTTCAGTAATTGCTGCCAATAGACAGTGAATCGGTGAATTAGAACATTAATTAGAACACCAAAAAATTGCTAAGTTTTTTTTTGTGCGGGCTCCTGATTCTTCATTGGCTCCTCATCTTTAGGAGAGTAAGTCAGCCACGGGTCTGACAAATACCACAGCACATAAAGCACAAACCCCTGGCAGCAATGCAAGCTCTGAAATCCCTGGGAGCAGCACCCTAAAGAGTCATTATGGATCTGCAATAAGAAGTTGTACAAATATAAAACAGTCACAAATGAGGCATTGTGTTTCTTTAGGCTGATTCTGGCATCATATTTTAATAATCCCCTAATGATGTATCTATCCCAAGACATGTTAGATATTAAATTTCCAATTAAGTAATTAATTGTTACTACTAAGCTTCAAGTTTTGCTGTTTAACCCACGATATTCTAAAATAAAGATTAAACAGTGAAAATAGTCACTGCATAGATTGATCTGCACTTCTGGGACACACCACACACAAAGAAAGCACAGGAAGCACCCATAGCACAAATATGTTGGGTGAGAATATAATCAATGATGGACCAAACCTTCAGCAGAAGGGTCCTAAAACATGAAATTTACACTGATTCTTCACAGTCTCTATCCATTCTGACCTCTTGCACCTTTTAAAAAGAGGGAATTTGCACTGACTTTACCAACATGGGGCCTTTCAGATGCACTTAAGTTTAACACGCCACCTTCGAAGGGTGTGAAACAGCAATTGCTGTGTTCTTTATTTTATGTCTCTGCTCCTCAGCTTCCTTACTTGCAAATGGAGTTGCAATTTAGCTGCTTCATTAAGTCAGATCACAGAATACAGAGATTTTTCCCTTGAAGGTGACACAGAGTTTTTTGAGGTATGAAAGCCTAGCACAGAATCCCTTACTTTAGACCATATGGTTTCCAGCTAAGTGTTCCTTTATTTTGGCTGGGCTGAAACATTCTTACTGAAGTGTCAAATTGTGACTTTATGCAATGCCTTTTTCAGTCCTCAGAATGCTTTTAACTTTCCTTCAGACTGTGAAAACAATTCTTGCTAGGAAGAATTATATTTCCCAAGCTATGTACAATGGCACAGGCTCAACACGAATTCAGGTTTTCAGAAGAGGACAAATTGATAGGGATAAAAACAGCAATAAATTTCTAATATCTAAAAAAAACTTAGACTTGTAATTTTTTTCCCCCCTGCACTATTTCATATTTCTTCAGAACAAGCTAAGCTAAATAAATCACAGTAAAACTATCCAAAGCAATTTGTTACCTTAAAATAAGTTTGCCAGCTATTGCAATAGACAGTGTTTTATTGCAGATTTCAACTCACCATGAATGACACCCCATACATCATCACCCAGGAGATGATGGTCTAAATGGGACTGCTATGTCAAAACCTAAGCTGTCTCTTGTCTTTGTGCCCAGGCTGATCTAAGCTTTAAAAGTGTTCACTAGCTTAATTCATTATATGAACAAAACCAAAGGAATTCTCCCTCTGCAATAGTCTAAAACTTATTCATGCAGTTTAACACCCTGAAGGCTTAGACAGTTTTGTCATATCCCATAAAATGTCCCCAGACAGTCTGGATATGGCCTTCCAAACCTACATTTGTGGGACATTCACTGACCCCAGGAATTACATTTATCTTTGATACTATTAACAATAACCAAACGCTGATACAATTCTCTCACTGATACCAGACAGATTCTGAGTTGATTACATGGAAAATAAATTTACTTTAGGAAGTGTGTGCAGCAATCTTGAAACATGGAGCTATTGCTATTGTCCCCCATGCCAGAGCATTATTGACCACTGCTGTTATTAACCATTAACCACTCCTGCTCCTGCAGAGGCCCTGCTAACCCTGGAACACAAACACCAGGTACTGCAAACAGAGTGTTTCTCAAACTTTTCCTTCAAATTCAGGTAACACATTCCTTTTCAACCAACCAATTTTGCCACACCGCTCAATGCAAGGGAACTATTTGCTCTCATACTTATATGAAGGAGCTATTGCATGGCAAGACTAATTCTTCCAGCACAACAAGAAGAAAAGGAAAAGCCAGGGAACTCCAGGAAAAAGTTCTTAAAGCATAATGATTCCAGTTCCTTATCCTGTAACAACCAGGACAAAAAGAAGTTATGTGCATCCCCAAATGTTTCTAAGTAGAAATTTCTTGATCCAAAGAAAAATATGAATAGAGAACAAAATCCATTGAAAAATGGGCATTAAGAAAATAACTTATTTCTTCCTGCATGTGGGGAATGGAGAAGTCTTGACTACCCTACAGGGACAAACTTGCCTTTTTTGCTAAATGCAGAGAAAACCCAAGGTAGAAATGGTTCCTTTTAAATATAATCATTTTGTGTCCTGTTTGACTCCTAGAGGGGAATTTCTTATTAGAGAAAATATATAGATTTACAATAAAAACTTATGGTCTACTAGCACATGGATCACTTAGCACTTTTAAAAGATTTAAGTTTTAGACCTTTTAGAGGAAACAGCATCTGTTATAAACATCCCCATGTTTCAAAACTGCAATGCACTTTTTTTTTCCTACCATCTCAGCACAGGTACAACAGGCAGAGTGCTCTGAGAAGCATTTTTGCCTGGAAACACCAAGCCAGGCTGAGTTCAGGAGAAAGCAGAGCAGAACCCAGGGATGTAAATCCAGGCCTGCATTAGGCAGGCAGACTAACAAGGTTGGCTGCCTTCCAGAGGAGCACTCTGGCTCCCCAGAGCCACAGGGAGCACTGTGATTGCATGCAAGCAGGGAGCAGAGGGAGGAGCACAAAGTGGGCATAAAAACAGACAAAAAAAGCACAAGGATATTAGGCTGTACTGCAGCACTCCATTATTAATGGAAACCAAGTTGCTTATTCTCATTTGTGCATTAATCCTTTCTCCTCCTTTCTTCAGGTTGGAACTGACTGGCTGCAAGTCCAGCTGCTCTGTGCAGAGAGTGAACCTCAATGATGTCTCATTGAAATGTGAGCACCAATCCCACCTGAGTGAGGGGCAGGAACAGAAAGAGCTGCTCCTCCCATGCAGAGCTGTGCTCCTCCAGGGCTCACAGCTGAGTGAAGTTACTGGGGCCTTGGGCACCCACAAGACTGAGCTGCTAGGAGGGAACACACTGGTAAACCATTGTCCCACCCCATTCCTGCCTCCTTGTTCTTTCCCCTTTGGCAGTGACATTGGGAGGGCTGGCAAATCCAAGGTGTCCTCACCTGGGCAAGCTTTCTTCAGAGAAACCCAGATTCTGCTGACCAGCATTTCGTCTTGAAATGATACACAGGGCTCAGAAACTGAAATAACTACAGAGAGGAACCTGCCAGGTCTGAGTGACAGCTCATGAATGATGAGGGAGCTAACCATGGCTTGGCAACTAAAGGGAAAACATTTTTAAGACCTACCTGCAATGAACAGCAAGGGCAAAACCTTTCAAAAGAGAGTAAAAACACAGCTGATCACTGACCCTAGAGGAGGAGGCTGATAATTTCAAGACTAAAGTTGATACTGTCCTAGAAACAAGGCTGCCAAGGAGAGCAGAAAATGTTTTACAGCTTTGTGTGTCTGTGGTGGAGGGAAACAGGCAGAGGGAAGACTTGGAGGCAGTTCCCTTGCTACAGCCTTTGCTGTGCTGCACCTCATCTCCCTGCCACAGCCTACAGGCATTAACTAAAGCACTGTTTCACCCACTTGGATATGAACATATTCAATCATCATTTACTTAAAATATTGCCCTGGATGACTGGGCAGAGAATACAGTCATGTCACTTGCTTCTGTCTGCAAGTCAAAACACCATAAACTCCTGCCCAGTTTATATTCTCATTTCCTCTCTGTCCACTCTGATGTGTTTTGTCCCACACTCCTGAGGCCTCCTGGGGGTATCTGAATGAACTGTGCTAAAGCTGAATAAATTCTGCCTTGGGAAGTCAAGCCCAGTGGAAATGTCCTGCCCATCCAGCTCACTCCAAGCAGGAGCTGTGCCAGGACCAGGAAGCTGCAGCACTGCAGCATCAGCAGTGGTTTCATACCAAGCCAGAGCTGTAGCCCTCAGTAAATGTCACTCTCCTGCTGAATTGCTTCCAGACAGCAGAGAGGGATTTGACCATTTCCACAGCATGTTGAATAACACTGCCTGAACTATTTAACAAACACCAGCAACACTTAATATATATTTCTGGCATTCTCCCAGCTGGATTCAGGGCACAAAAAAGGGCCAATCCTTCTGCATTCTGGCTCAGAGGTTTACTGCAACATGGAAGTTTAGTACTTAATAACTTTCTGATATTCTTCTAGCCAAAAAATTATTCAGTTTCTCAGAATTATCCAGTATTCAGAAAATAAATTTATGTCAACTTGTAGAAATAAACTACAGTTTTTAGAAACCAAGCTGGGTTATATGAATGTTAATGAGATAATTGTTTCCATACTGTTTTTAAAATTAACACAGGTAAATATCATTCTAGTTGTGCTCTCCTCTTCTCAACGTTTCTACTACTCTATTCTAGTTTATCCTCAATATTCAGCTTCTGATCTTGCTCTTTTTGCCCATTAAAAGCTCAACTGTTTTAATAGTGCTGTGGGTACCTAGGCTGAAACACAGCTGCATGTAAATTCAACTTGGTGCTAAATCATTTTCTGTGCTCTATAAAGAGAAACAAATGGCTGTCAGGAGATTCTACCTTCCTTTTATCTCCTGTATGAAATTATATCTTAGTCCCCCTCCAGCTTAATAAAGCAGTAATTACAGCTAAGGCATATAAACATTTTCTTATGATTAGGTCCTTCCCTAGCTAGCTTGAAGAAAAAAAGAAAAACCAAAACCCACCAGCACAAAAAAACTCCCAAAACTAAAACAAAAACCAATCAAACAAAACCCCACACCACAAAAAAAACCCCAAACAACAAAAAAACCAAAACCAAACCAAACCAACAAACAAAAAAACAAACAAAAAACCCCCAAAAAACCCCAAAAAACAAATAAACCAGAAAACTCCAAAGAAAGTGTAATTTCTTTACTATAGAAGAAAAATCCAGTATGGAAATATTTCCCCAACTCTCCCCTGCCTGACAGCCCCAGTGATGCCTAAGGTGAGGTTTTGGTGAGCCATGAGCAGTGTGGGGGCATGGGGCAGCCTGCAGGTGCACAGGTACAGAAGATTGAATAATGTTTGAAGTGATTTGAAGTGCAGAACTCAGCAGCCTTATGAGAGACTTGTAGATAATCCTCCTTTCTGAACTTCATTTTTCATTTACAAAATTTTTCATTTACAAAAGATCAGATGCTTCACACAAGCTGGCAGTTGCACACAGAAACATATGTTCCCCCAGACAGCACATTATCATTTTTATTCCTCTTACATGCAAGCTCTCCCCAAATGCCCATTCAGTTCTATTTTCTACTTACAATGAAATGAGAGATTTCAAGCCTTTGAATGCATCAGGTGCAATGTCAGTTATTTGGTTCTTGCTGATGTCTCTGTGAAAAGAAAGATTTTAAAAAATGTTAGTAAACAGGAATTTAATGAAAATATTTTAGCTGTATTGGAAGAACACACTTGATATAAAAACAGAAATAATAGATCATATTATCTCAGAGAAATGATGAAGTATGTAAGGCCAGAGATAGGCAGAATAACAGGCCACAGCCTCAATAGAGAGTCCCCTTCTTAATAAGGGCTTTGATTTTATGGATGTTAAAAAAGGTTTTTATGAAGAACAACAGTGGCACTGATGAAACCATCCCAAAGCCACTGATACTGGAGATGGCACTGCAAATAACAAAGCACAAAGGGTCTGAACACTGCAGGGCAGGCATGGAAGGGCAGCTTGGTAAGAGCAGAGTGGATGATGCAGAGTGCCCAGCCCCTGATCCCAGAGCAGGGAGCTCAGCTGCTCCTCTGGGGTCTGGGCTTTAGTGGCCTAGAAAAAACAAACAGCACAAACTCCACTCAGCACTGGTCTGGTGAAGATCAGACACTGGAGGAAGCCTTCAAGCAGCTGAGTGGGAATTGTGGAGCTCTGGAGGCAGCAGCACTGGGGGGACCCCAGCCCACTGCAGACCCTGGCAGGGAGCCCAGGCAGACCCACCCTTTGGCTGGGCTGTGAGTGGGACTCAGGCAGGAGTGCCTGCTGGATTTTTAAACTAAAGTGAGCTCCTGGTTTGGAAAATACTCTTCCATTTGAATCATAACCAGCCAAGAACACAAGGATAAATGCAGACTGTGCCACAGTAACTTTACACAAGGAGCCCAATTTACTACACTTGGCACCCAGGAGCTCAGAGCTGGGTGCCCCATTGTGACAGTCACTGTCACCCAGACCTTCTGTCCATCAGCTCAACCAGGTGGGAGCTGGGACTCAACCTTCAGCCACCTCCCTGATGGCTGATATCAGCTTGCACCAGCAGTGTCCAATCTCTCCACTGATAGCTGCAGCAATGCAGTATTTCCTGTACATCTTCACTGGTATTTCCACTGGGGCACGTGCTATGGATCCAAGTAGACTCTAAATAAAACATCACTTGAATGAGAACCTACTAATCAGAAAATTAAGAGGTTTTCCATTCTCTACATTTTTGAGCTACAAATTATGTTGGATAAATTTTAATGAGGTCCTCAAACTCTTTTCAAATCTAGGCATGTTACGTGGGATTTTTTTGTTTGGTTTTTTGGTAACTTTTCTAAGGTTTGATTCTTTTTTAAAGCTCATAAAGAATTGCTCTGCAATCTACTGATGTTTTCTGCTACAACATCCTGCCTAGCAGGACAGGATTCATGGAATGTTTCGGTTTTGCAGCTCAACTTACAGCAACCAAACTTGGCACCTTGAAAGTAGGAACATTTGTATTTGTTTTTGTTTTTATACAGGTTTTTGTGAAACTTGTTTAGACTGACTGCTGCTTTTTATCTAGTAAGCAGAAGTGGATCAGTCCTATCTATTTATTGAGGAATATTAAATATTGAGGAATGTTAAATATTGAGGAATTTAAATCTGCCAAAATCACTGGAAAAGGCGAGTTTGCTGAACAACAAGAAGCATCTGAGAAGGGGCATCTAGCTTTTGATTGAAGCATTTCAGCAGTGTTTTAGTGAGCTGCTGCAGCTCAGCATTGCCACCCTCCCTCCCTCCCCTGGCTGGACCCTAAGGAGTGTGTGAGTGATGGTGCCTGAGCGACAGAAACGCCACGCTGGGCTCACTTCATGCAGCTGCACTACAATCAGCATTAGAAGATAATTAGACACATTATTTCCTTTCCATTAGGGCCCAAGTTCCACTGCTGTCAGATTAGGAGATTCCATCTCCTTCTGACTTGACTGAGAGAAAGGGATTCAATTTTGTCCTGGTGTTTCTGTTCCCTGTGTTTGGCCTGCTTTGGTGAGATTGTCCTATTCTGTCTTTCATTTACATCAGGACAGACAGAGGCTTTTCTAAGCTGCACAACTAGGACAATTTAGATGACAGAAGGCTCATTCTCTTAGTTTAGGCTATCTCAGAATCACTCAGGGGAAGTGTGCCTCTTCAACTGGAAATGTAATAAAATTATCAGGATTGCACTCGGGCAGGGATGATATCAGTCACCTCACACTCCCTCCCTGCACTCTGACAGCATGACAGAAACCTCTGAAAAGGTTGTTGCACACACCTTGGAGGGTGGCTGTGCTCAGTCACCAGCTGGGGACATAAATTGGTTTTGACTTTGCACCAGCAGAGAAAGGATACCCTGCAAGATGCTGAGTAACACATAACTGTATGGCTTAAATATCTTCACTGTAAAAGGTTTTGAAACAAAACAGATTTATTTTTAGATGCAGCCAAATGCAAGAGTATTAATAGCATTGGTTGAATACTCTCTTGTTGACTAACATTATTAAAAACAGATTACTTGATTATCTCCAACATATGAAATGGACTGTTCTCATTTGACAAGAGTACTCAGCAAAATCCATGTCATACACAGTTTAGTTTGTGGAAGCTGCTTAAAAATGTCACAACTCCACAGAGCTACTGGCAAGCCTGTGAAATCTCAATGTGTTTTCTGCTAAAATGTGGTAAAATTAGTCTGACAACATGAAATGCCACTACAAGCATCAGAGCTAGAGAGGTGCAACCACAACCTTCAAAGTTATTCCATATACTTGGCTCTTACTCTTGCTCTACAAACTTGTTAGTTAAAAGCCTCAGAAGAGCAGAGACAGGAAATGTGGGCAATTCTGATTAAGCCCCAGACAAAATAGGTTTCAGCTCCTTTACTAAACCTAATCACCAAAATAACTCTCCCATCCTGGAAGCTGTTGAAGAGATAATTCTGAACAGCAAAATGCAGCTATATACAAGTACAGGATTTGAATTAATATACATTTTTTGCAATCATCTTGACCTAATAATATCAAGTCATATCAAGATTATGTTGGACAAGTGGATCTAATTTAATAATTAGTCTCAGTTATCCAATTAGCTAAGGAAAGGAAACTTCATTATCTTGCAGGAAATACTCAGTAAAGAATCAAAATACAGAGAGTACAGAGTTGCAAATGAGGACTATTATCACTAACATTTTTGCATATTTTTTCACCTGAAGGAGAAAAATACAATACAATTTACAGGATTATGCTAAAACCCTGAATGATATAAAATATTATAATAGTACTTAATGGTTACAATAACAACAAGTATATTAATGCTCTGCATTTCTACCCCCAGTAGGGCATCCATTAATTAAATTGAAAATCTTCCTGCTATGGCATTGTTCATTGAAATCCAAGTGAAAGAAATGAAGAAAGGCTAACAAAACTTCAGTGATACTGAACTTATCCTTCCTCTAAAGGAAAAGGATGGAAAAGGATCCTTTTGTTTGAGGATATAATCTTTTCACCAAAGTAAATTTTTTGTGTTAACAGGACTGAGAATCTTGAAAATATGGTGTCAATAATCTCTTTAAATACTGAAACAAATGTCCTCAACAAAACCATGTGTAACAGAACTGCTGCTCAATCCAGGGCCTCACTGTCCAGCAGGAAATAAACTTTAACAAGCAAACAGGTAGAAAACAAATGGCAAAACATCAGGTTTGTTATGGGACATTCTGCAGCCCAAATACTGTCCCAAGTTCTCCCACAAGATCCTGTCATGCTAACTAAGCTTTGGCACAGATCATCTGCCACAATAACTTATTATTTCAGGATGAGCTCAGATCTCAATGAGTATGCCAATTATATCCCAAAAAGCTGTTAGCACCACTTGCTAATGGAATTCTGCTGCAAAATTCTAACATTAATAATTTCACATAGCAAGTGCTATGTTGGATAGGGCAGCTATCTACATTAAAGAGTATTTTTTGGTCAACTCCCATAAAACTACTCTTCACCCATCAATGAAATATGAAAAGACAGTAAAACATCACAAAAATCTAAAATTAGTCATACCTTAGAAAGAACTATGTAGTGATTTTAATAATAAAAAAGTTACAATTTAGGTCACTGAAAAGGGATCCATCATTATTCGCTGAAATTACCATCTTACTATCCAATACAGCACTTCTTTAAAAATACATACAGCTATATTGGAAGTGAGACAGAAGAATAGAGACCATCTAAGATTGATGATTTGACCTGTTAAATATTTAGATCCATATTTACAGCTCTTCAGCTCAAGGAACTTGTTAAACTGGGACTGGAAAACACAGCAATTTTGCCCTTAAATCTATGTGTGCTGCAAGCTGACTTCAGTTTCCCAAAGCCATCTGATAATCCAGTGCCTTCTCTGAAATGAGCTGACAGTGCCTTAATTCCAGCATTGTTCCCATCAGAGGAGAGCTGCAAAGGCACTTTTCCAGCAGCTTTAGCACTCATCTACAAAGCCTGCATGACTTCTGGAAGTTACTGCTCCAGTGGCAGCAGCAATATCTCCATTTCTGAGGGCAAGCAGGGCTAGCTTGCTTTACCATGATCTGTATCATCGTGGAGCTGTCACATCATCTCTCACATATCAGTCAAAAATGAAAGAAAAACCTGACTGGAGGAATGCCCCGTGTTATCTGCATGACAGCACTGCTACACATCAGGATTATTACTTTTTTAATCCAGAGAGAAAACAAAAGGAGTAATAAAAGGAAGAATTATCTGGATATCTATGGTGATTAAGCGACAGAGAAAACAAGCTGCAGCAGGTTTCTTTGTTTTCTTGTAAACAGCCAAAGCATTTCAACATCAGCACATCAAAGGCACTGCAAAACCTCCTCCCTGCTCTGAGAGAATTGGCTCCTGCTCCAGCTGGGGTCACCACCCTGGCGTGCTGCAAACAGGGAGAGACGGATGGGAGGAGAAACAGAACTCCAAATCTATTCTGGGGGAGCAGGTTTGAAGTCTGAGCAGACTAACAACTAATTAAATCACTTCGTTTATAATAGGAAGTGAAATTAAGCATTATTAAGGATTTCATGCACTGTTGGGCATCCTGAACCAAATTCCATTGTTGCTTATGCTCTGAAGAGATGATTTGTGCAATCCCCAGTGATTTCGACACAGAATTGCCAAGATGTTTCTCAAATGAAGATACTGAACTTGAAGCTAGAAGATTCATGATTGCTCTTGCATGTTGGTCTTATTAAAACTTACATTCTCTTCAGCTTCTTGTACTGGGTGAAAGCTCCAGGGGGAATGATTTTGATGAGGTTTTGTTCCAAACGTCTGAAAACAAACAAAGCAATATACATGTTAACTACACAGCTACAGGACAGGAATCACATTAATTATGACAGCACAGTTTATATAAATATAAAGCAATTTTACAGGGTCTTATGCAAAACATATTTTTATTTTTAAGTCCACTAAATAGAAAAAATATTGAGAAAATGACTTAGAAAAATAAAATAATCTCTCTGATTGCTAAATTGGTCTAGAAGAAATGCCACAAGCTAAGGAAACTGGATTTTTAAGGCTCATGGAATGAATTAATAATAGTAGGCACATTTTAAAGTTAAGGTAGAAAATAGAAAATACAGATGCTTTCCTTGACCAGCTGTTGTAAATAGAATGTAACTGTTTAAACTTACAGCTAGGCTAGGCTGTGACAGCTTAGCAAACAGATTAATAACACAACCAGACCAATTCAGGAGCAACAACCTGGGAACATGCTAGAAACCAAAGTGAATTCACTGCTAGGTGGATTCATATTTTTAAGAGGGTAGGGAGCAACTACCAAATACTTAAGTTTTTCTAAAATATGGTCCAGAGTACATAAAAAGTCTGCTGTTTTTATTTCTAGTATTTGACTTGAAAGAAGTGTTCTTTATGAAGTACTATAAATGCATGTATCACTAACATAAAATGTAAGCAGCTTTAAGACACCGCCTACAGAAACCACTGAGATTAATTTCTGTTCCTTCCCCACAGTACTTTCAAGTATTTGTCAGCAAGTTCCCTGAATTCCTGCTAAAAGGAATGGCTTCTCCTCAGATGAACTTCAAATATTCATCTCCATTAGAAATGTAAAAGTGGATCCTCAAAAAACAAATTCCACTCACCATAGTAGCTAAATTTCTACTGAGCTGGGACTGAGACCAAAATGTGGTTTCACCTTGCTCTTATTTATTATTGAAATGTTGTGTCTTTTTTTTTCCCTGAAGTGTCCTAATAAGTTTAAATAGTAAAAAATCTGTGGTTGAAAATGGCTTAGAATTGAAATACAAAAACATATTGGAATGATGGAATGAGGCACTCCAGTCATTTCAAGTTGCTGCAGCAATGCAGATGGGAGAAAAAACCCTTTAAAGCCAGGAATGACAATAAAGTGAAATGGGAGAAGGGAGAAGTAAATCAAGGTTTGCACAGTACTAGGGTACAGTAGACAGAAAATGTGTAAGCTCTCTATCCCTCTGGTGATCTGTGCTTTCATAAGCAAAAGAAAATAATCCCCTTGAAAATAAGATAATTTGCCAGCTCATTTATACTCTAAGAAGCTATTTAAGTACAAATATTTTGATATTTGCACAGTCAGCTTGTACAGCCAATGTGCTCACCCTCTTTTATATCTGTAGCCATCTATTTTTTAAAGGTTGTGATCAGAGTTAATTCTATTCCTCGTTTTGTGATCTGAATTAGTGTCTGAGATTTCCCTTCCAGTTGGTCTAAATATAACACATTTCATTTCTGGCAAGTCCACAGTGAAATGCAAATTGCTGTGAGCTCCAGCACGCCACTATTGTTGGGTGTTTGTCACCAGAATTAGCAGCACACACTCTTCCCATAAAGGCTTTTTGTCAGCTTGCCAGCCGGGTGTTCGACTCCTCCCAAGTGTTTCTGTGCAGGCACTTCTAGGAACAAAAGAGGGTCATGCCTGCCCGATTTCCTGGCCCTGGGGATGGAAACTGGGGGCTCAGCCACCCTGCACACCAGGGCAGCACGCAGCCCCTACAGGGAAACCCAAACGCAGGGATGGGGGGAACGTGGGGCTCTTCACCAGCAAAATTCCCAGGCAATTTTAGTGACTCAAGGGTGGAAATGCACACAGAGTTTTCACCCCAGAGAGGGTGAAAAAAATATCCAAAATTGGAATAGTTAGCCACAGGTCCCACGTAATTTAAAAAAAAAAAAAGAAATTAAAAAAAAGAAAGAAAATAAATAAATAAATAAGAAAATAAAAATAAATTTCTAGGAAAAGTGGAGAGGAAGACAGAAACAGGAGTTATTTGAGAGTTGCATTTTGTAGCTACCTAATGAACTCTTCACCCTTTCCTACAAAATCTGCAGCAGATGGCCTGTACAGCAATAGATGGGCAAGGCTCTTGTCATCTGCTGCTGCATTCCCACCACAGCACCTGACATTGCTTTATTCCACCAAACCCTCTGCAAATGAAGGACTAAAGAATCTCATGGCACGTTCTGCTCAGGGCACTGCACTTTGCAGATGGCACCAGAGCAGCACCACGGGCCCCCATCAGGGTGTGTGGGCAGGTGGGCTCCAACCTGGGCACAAAGCAGGGCACCGAGTCCAGGCTGCATTAAATAAGCTGTGCTTTGACAGAATGAAGTACTGACCTGACTTCTATTTATTTTTTACACAAATGGATGTTATAGAATGGCAGACCTAGCCTGAAAAACACAAAGCAGTTTCACAAGTAAAATGACAGGAAACACCTTGTTTGTGTTAATACTTTACTCTTTCACCTCATTTAGCTCATACATGACGTGTTGAGGACAGCAGACAATTAAAAATCTCGAGACATTCCAGGTTCTGCCAGGAGGGGAGCTGGAAATTTCAGGGTGATGAAGGCCTAATTAGAAACCCTACAATGGGAAACTGCTAGAGATGCCATCTTTGAAATAAAGTGAAAAACTGTATTCTTACCTAATATTGGCTTTTTTTGCCCCAAAAAGTGCGAAAGTGTAAATTTTACAGCCACATTTTATTTCTGAGAAGAATACCTAGGTTACCTAGAACACGACCTTTGGAAAACTGTGTTTTTTATGGTGTATCCCTATACTATGGAGTGCTGTCATACACTATAAAACCATCTATGCTAGTGCAAAGCAACATCTGGGAGTTCATTTTTGGGGGGTATTACCAGAATATATATATATATATAATTTATATATATATAATTATAATTATATACATATAAATATAATAAATAAATATAATAAATATATATAAATATATAAATAAATATAATAAATAAATATAATTATATATATAATATAATTATAATATAATATATATTATTATATATATAAAATAATATATATAAAATAATAATATAAAAATATTATATATAAATATATAAAAATTAATAAAATATATATAAAATAATATAAAATTTGCATAGAATATATGTAAAATAATTTTACATTTGAGAAATCTGTACAGGACACACAGTCCTAAAAAGCTAAATTTTGATAATTCAAATGACTACCTCCCCTCCCATTAAAGGTTTCTTACAACTCAATAAAATTTTTCTTGATTCTCCCGTGATATTTCATATTCAGATCTATTTAAGAGACTTGCCAAGCAGAATTCCCAAAACTGATAAAGGGAACTGGTCCTGTTCAAGCTCCCAGAGGTTTTTGTTGCTCCTCTGTTGGCCCTGTGGCTGTGCTGAGTGCTGAGATGAAGTGAGGCACATCTCCCCCTCCCCACACACAGCAATGCTCTGTCTGCCTCTCCCAGCTTTATTTTAGAGGCTTTGACAACAACATCAAAGGACAGGAACAATTTCCTTTCTCTTCTCTAATATATCAGCAGAGATTGGAAAGTATGAGGGCCCACTGGATTCAGATCCATTTTTTCTTGTAATAACATGATGCTAGACAGGATAAAGTCCTCCTTCTTCCTACTTTTTGTTTTAAATGACTTTGCAGCAATGAGAGCAAAAAGTAAACACATCAGAGAAAAAAACCAGAACAAAACAAACCCGGGGAAACCATGCAGCTAAAGATGAAAAACTATCCCAGGGTAAAGAACAAGCACTCAAATTCCCATGCTAATCCATCTCAAAGTTCACTGAGGTGCAAATCTTTTCATCACCTCCTCCTGTGGTGCCTGCATTGCTCACGCCCAGGATGGCAAAACACAAAAGGATAAAAAACTCTGCCTAACGGGGACTTAGCAGAGCCAGCTCACACTCAGGATGATGAAGCCATTCGTCTTGAAGAGTGATTCCCCCTGCAGAGCTGGGGAGACAGACGTATTAATTTGGGCTTTAACTATCTCCCTTTCATTGAGGGAAAGAAAGAATTTGTTATTTGGCTCTCTAATGGAGCAGTTTGCTAGCAATTTTCCCATTTCAAACACTGTCTCAGCTGCTAATGTGCAATGTTTTGTCAAGCTTACCTACCCATAACATAGACAAATCACCACCTTGGAGAAAAAGAGAGGGAGGGAAGCATCAGTACTGATAATTCTCAGCTGTCAGATGAATAGAGCCTACAAATGAGACAGGCACGCTCTATTAACAGTGCCAGGAGCTGTGTCACCAGTGTCCCTGGGCACGGGGCAGGCCCTGCTGGGACACAGAGGGGATGAGCCAGGTTCTTCCTGGGCTCTGCTGGGCTGCCACGGCTCAGCCTGCCAGGAACAAACAGCCCCGAGCCAAAGCCACCTCCAAGGGAGGGAAACACACCTGTGGCACTGGCAGGACACACAGCCTGTGTGAGGAGTGCTGGGAAGGGCAAAATCCTGGTTTTCCTCCTCCCTGTAAGCAGGGGTTTGCAGGGAACTGGGTGGGGAAGGAAGGAGCATTGACATCCACCACGGTGATGTGATGGTGTTCACAGGGGTCTGAGGATGAGGGAAGAGATGAGGATCTGACCCCATGTTTCAGAAGGCTTGATTTATTATTTTATGATATATATTATATTAAAACTATACTAAAAGAATAGAAGAAAGGATTTCATCAGAAGTCTAGCTAAGAATAGAAAAGGAATGAAATGATAACAAAAGCTTGTGACTGACCGAGACAGTCTGGACAGCTGGACTGTGATTGGCCATTAATTAGAAACAACCACATGAGCCCAATCCCAGATGCACCTGTTGCATTCCACAGCAGCAGATAACCATTGGTTACATTTTGTACCTGAGGCCTCTCAGCTTCTCAGGAGAAAAAAAATCTAAGGAAAGGATTTTACATAAAATGTGTCTGTGACATGACAGAAGCCAGGGATGGGGAGAACAGTTTGGGTTAGGAAGGAGG